ACATTTATAAAAAAAATAATTCCAAATAGACCGCAGTCATTGGAATTATTACCAGTCTAAAAACATTTATATCAAAACTTCATTTTTATGATAAAATAATTCCCATCAAAATATTTCTATCACAATCCGGTCATCAATTATYCGGTTTAAACACTTAGGAATAAAATCCACTTTGTCCGGATATCAAATCCGGTYAACACACCACACATGCATTGGACGGTTTAACACTTAAAAACAAAATTCATCTTTTTGTCCGGATAACAAGTCCGGACAACATTCCGTTCAAGACTTGACCGGTTTAAATAAACCGCTCTCCATGTGGTCGTATTCCTACTTCTCAGTATATAATCATAAGTAATACTGCCAATTATAAACCGTTCAATACTCAACCGGTTTATCAAACTCTGGACAATAAGCCGTTCAAGGCTTGTCCGGTTTAAAAATAATCCAGACAATAAGCCGCTCAAGGCTTGTCCGGTATAAACACTTATCCGGTCACTCTATGTTCGGATAAACACTTAAAACAACAAAATGTATGGTTTCTTTCTAAGGAGTAATAACATGAAATAAGCAATTGAAACCAGAAGTAGAGCTTGTGCAAAAAGATTTATAAACCACTCAACTTAACAAGCTTTTGAAACCAAAATGCTTGAAATCAACTTGAATCACCAACACTTGAAATCACCCTTTTGCAATCCGGACAACTCTCTTTTCTTTAAAGCACTCACTTTCTCAAAATGGCAGGGAAAAGATAATGAAGAGGCTAAGCCTCCTTTTTATACTACCCAAAACAGGAAAAGTCGGCTAAACCACCTTCCTTTCCACCCTTTCCACCTCATGCTTAAACATGCACATGCATACACACACATACCTACTCCACGTATGCATAACATGCATGCACCCATATATTTATATATATATATATATATATATATATATACACACTCACATATATATATATATATACATATTCAATTAATACACAATTTCACATACCGGCATGTATCAATTTATCATGTAATCACGTAATCTTTAATCAAATAATCACGTATTAAATACCTTGGGTAATAACCAGGATCCGGTTATTACATAAATGCTAGATGTTGCCTTCTCAATCTCTCTGCCAATTGATTCAGAAATGAACTTATGGACCAAACCTTCAGATCACAAGATTGGGCCTGGCTGACCATGATCACCCTCATCTTACGACGAATCTAACAGAATCAAACATAAAAGAAAAATCAGTAACAAAGAACTCCAAGCTTGATGAAGAGCTGCAATTGTAATTGCCAAATATAAATCTCACAAGAGTTGAGCATCAAATTAGTAGTTAAAAAAAGAAGGTATGGTATATACCTGTCAGATTTGGCTAGATTGTGCATAGCAGGTCCTCTTCAACTGGTTGATACGCTTCTTTGTAAAGCCAATGCAAAACTTTCTCAATGTGTAATTGTCGGTTGTGTTCACATCAACATGTGCCTCGATCAAAGACTGCCATTTGCTGACAAGAGACCTCAGTTTATTCATGGTGAAGTCCATACCCTGGATAAAAGAATGCAAAGTTAACATTAAAACACCGTTCACTATATAAAAGAACAAAAAAACAATAAGATAAACATCATACCCAGAAATTGGTTAACACACTCTTCCCTTGGACATCCTCAACTCTCAGACGGATCTTTCTGTAGGCATGATCCTCATCATTTTAGAGGTCGGCTAAGGATATCTCAAAGACACGATGTTTYAGTCCTTCTAAAGCAATTTGATTGGAAAAAAAAGAACATTTAGGCTTCAATTTCTAAATCCAGGTATCATAAAAAATGATAATTTCTAATACACAAAATAAGATTTCCATGAAAAGGTTGTATGGTTCAAAAAAGGTGACAGCAACGGTACTTCAGGGGTTCAAATCTATTCTAGGCACTGAATCACCTCCCCAATCCCTTGCGTAGCTTCAAATTAGAATTTTCCGACACCTACAAAACTAATGCTGATCCATTTGTACCCCATAAAGAGCTGGAAATGTTGATGGAGGATTAGAAACATACACAAATCCTTATAGAACTAACCATTCTTCCTTAAGTTCATACATAGATGTCACCAAAAAACAAAACTGCCATTTGAATCAAACCAATCAACCAGAAACTTCATGTTCACCTGCAAATATCATCAATCAATTAAAAATAACCCATCTTAATTTCCTTGGTACTCATCCATCATAAAAACCCAAGTATCAACAAGACTAAAATAATAAACTTAGATCATCTGCCTCACAAGGTTAATATGAAAGATCAATAATCTCATAAATTTTAAACAAAAAGAAAATACATAAGCAGACAGTAGTAACTTTGTGGATGGCTCAAGTCAATAAAACTGTAAGTCGCCTTTGAAAAACCTCCACAGGATCGTTCTTGAAAATCGCCTGAATCGTGCTTGAAAATAGCCGAGTTACAAAAAAAATTGAAGACATAAGGATACAGCAGTCAAATATTGAACACATCTCAAACCGTTGTTGATAGGTAAATATATTTATATGGATCAAGCATCTATCAACTAATGGTTTATTTGTAACTGTCAAGGGTTATCATCTTAGAAGAGCAACTATGGTTTAAATGCATGTGAAGTATATATATGTCAATACTATATTAAAACACAGTTTCATTAGGCAGTTACATTATAAAGCCAAACAAAACAACATAAACAGGATAACACAAGATTATGGAAACAAGGTTTTAAGGGTATATCAAGGTTTTAAAGAGTTTGGGGCAAACAAGAGTATTATAACAAATTAAACAACTCTTTTTCATAGACAACATAAACAGGATTAACACAAAAACAACTCTAATSGTGGATTAAAAGACGACCATTTTGACTATAGAAAAGAGGAAACGGTACCTATATGGAATATTCAAAGAATACTAATAATCTATCTACAATATGAGATATCTGTTTGTAGGTTTTGCCATCAGTATATGTGATTGAATTATTACAAGCTTCGCTTGAAAACCCCTAAAATGTAATTAAAAAAAAACCCTTAAAAGAAATAGCCATTTTCATACTCTTCTAAGTTTGTAGTTTGATTAAGAACCAGATTCAAAAATAGCTATTTTCATACTACCTTAAGTATATAGTTTGATTCTACAAAGTGAACTATGCATAAAACCAACAGATCCATAAAAACCAGAAAACAAAAACACAAATAAAAACGTCTCCCCATCCATAGCCTTTGACTCTACTCCTCCATTTTCAATTATACGAGTTAACACCAAAACATACCTTAACCCATAATCTTTCCTCAGCACAAGAAACCAATCACTAATAGTAATTTTCAATTAAAAGTTCCAGTTCTAGTAATTTTCAATTAAAAGTCAAAATGCATATCTTGATTTGAAGATAGGTAGTATCAGCTAAAATGCTTCAACCAATCATTCAAACAGAACATAAATGAAATAAAAAACTTCAAGTGAGGTGATAAAGGCAAACTTGAAGTTCTGAGACAATGAGACAGTGAGGTGATAAAGGCAAACTTCAAGTGATGACCAAAGAGACAACAGGTCAATAGAGGGTAAGGAATGGGACTGGAAATTGATTTAATGTTGGGGCTTGGTTGGGGGAATTAGAGGGTAAGATATACAGGTAATGGAAATGATTAGATATACAGGTAATGGACCATTCATGAATTCACCTGCCCACCCCCTCCCTCGACCGACAACCACCGTCCCACTCTCTCCCCCCTCTGCAACTCACTGCCGCACCCCCTCTCCCGACAGAAACACACCGATTAAGAACCAGATTCAAAAATAGAACCAAACAAATTAACTGAATTAGAACCAAGCAAATGAGCAAAATAAACCCTAATAATCCCTAACTTAACTCACCTTTTGAAAACCTCCACAGAATCGCCTAAATCGTGCTTGATAGATAAGTAGTGCTTGAAAATCACAGAATCGATTGAAACCTCCACAGAATCGTGACATGAGCGATGATTTATAAACACTCGGAGTCGCCTGAATCGTTGCCTTGGGGACTGAATCGTCATCTCTGTAATCGTGGAGCGAGGAGAGAGCACGATAGAGAGAGCCGGACATTGGGCAAAGTTGTGTTCGGAAGAGGAGCGTCGTTTGGAGCGTGGAAGCGATAGAGCCAGCCGGATGTGTGCTTCATAGGATAGTACTTATATAAAGTAGCATAGAAAAGTTGTACATTTTTAATATTTTAAGACTTTTTACATTAAAGAATAATACCTTATGTATGTTAAGATGTTTTTAAGACTTTGGGCAAATTTGTTTTATAAAGTAATATAGATAAGGAGCCATGTATGTAATCTCTAGATGACCCTGCTTGGTTATTTTCGTCCAATTGAAAAAAAACAAACTAAAAATGAACAAAACGAAGCCGTTTAGGTATTTTAATCAATTTCAGTTCTAGAAGTGTTTTTTTTATTGTTAAATTAATAAAATATTTAATATAGAACTATTTTAATTAAAAAAATATTAATTAAATCTAGTAAATATAAATCTAACTATTATGGTGGCGAATGGCGACGATTTTAAGATCACACACATTCCTCTGTGTATCTAAAGTCACCGGAGAAAAATGGCGTCTCGAAATTTCCCGGCGATGCCGACACCGTCGTCGTTGCTATCGGCGTATGCTTCAATGTCAACCTCAATCATGCTCTTCCGTACAATGTTTGACCAGTTCTTCCCCAGACAACTGCGACGCTACGTCGTCGACGCCGTCCGATTCTACTGGAAACCTAAATCCTCAAAACTCACCCTCATCTTCGATGAGAAAGACGGAATGACCTCAAACCACATGTTCGATGCCGCCGAAGCCTACCTTTGCACCAGAATCAATCCTGATTCTGACCGTCTCAGGTGATTGAGCGTAAATTAATCGTTTTATAGGATTTGATTTGGAAAATCTAGAATATTCTTGATCGGGATCAAACTTATATCTTCGATGATCATAGGATCACTAAAAACGTCAAAGAAAAGCACATCAATATCAAGTTTGCAGAGTCTGAAGAGCTAGTAGATTCGTTTGAAGGAATCTCGCTTACATGGAAGTACATCAGTCAGCAGCCACAACAAAGGTCCGGCAGCGGCGGCGGCTATGATTTTGGTCAAAATGGTGGAAAGAGTAGCTCCGGTGGAAGCTTTACACCGGAGAGAAAATACATCGAGCTGAAATTTGACAAAAAACACAAAGAGATTATAATAAGTGCTTACTTGCCATCGGTACTGAAAAAATTTCAGGAACTCGAAAACCAGAAGAAAGTCGTGAAGCTCCATAACCTCCAATCCTACGGCGGCGGACCAGGCGGTTTCAAGGAATCGGTGAATCTGGACCATCCATCAACGTTCGATACATTGGCGATGGATCTGAAGATGAAGAAGGCGATTATCGACGACTTGAATCTGTTTTTGACGAGGAGGGATTTCTATAAGAAAGTAGGGAAGGCATGGAAGAGAGGGTATCTATTGTACGGTCCGCCGGGGACGGGGAAATCGAGTTTGATTGCAGCCATAGCTAATTACCTTAAGTTTGATATCTATGATTTACAGTTGATGAATGTTGGGAGTGATTCGAGTTTGAAGAAACTGATGTTAAGAACGTCAAATCGATCCATACTGGTGATTGAAGATATCGATTGTAGCATACAGCTGCCGGATCGGAAGGGAACTGCTCCGGCCAAAATTTCCGATGGTAGATCCATTCGTGATTCTCAGGTTTGTTTCTTTCCTCTTTAAACCTCTTGATACTCTGAATTGCAAGTGGAATCATACATTCACCAATTTTGTCTTCCTCTAAACCACGGATTTACACCAAAACTATGGATTGTGATTATGGCACACAAGAGTAATTCCTTATTTTTGTAGTTCTCGTTATCGGGCCTTTTAAATTTCATAGACGGGCTATGGTCGTGTTGTGGAGATGAACGTATCATAATCTTCACCACAAACCACAAAGAAAGACTCGACCCCGCATTGCTTCGACCAGGGCGAATGGACGTGCACATTCACATGTCATATTTGACCATTGACGGGTTCAAGACACTAGCAGCCAACTACCTTGACATTCACGACTACCATCGTTCTTTTAGGGAAATCAATGAGTTGATCAGTTGCACCAAAGTTACGCCCGCGGAGGTGGCTGAGGAACTCATGAAATCCAACAACGTCGAGCTTGTGCTCGAAGGGCTTGTGAAGTTTCTCAAACGTAAGAGGACGAGAGATGAGGAAACTAAAGAGGGGATCGATAATGGAGATGATGGAGTCCATGAAGATAAAAGAGCCAAAACTCTTTCATTGATTTAATAGTCGAATGCAATCAACAATATTTCTAACAATTTTATTTGATTCAACCTATTAAATATAATGTACAAAAATTAAAGATGGGCCAAAACGATACGAGTCGAATTACATTCGGCCAAAGAAGCAGGGTGTCTAGTGTGAGGTCATCCCTATGTGTTACATGTCCTACTCGGAAGGCGAAGTGAAGAGATTAGATTATAATTCTGACTAGTGATGGTCAAACCGGCCCGGCCTGGCCCGGGATCGGGACCGGCCAAGGACCGGTTATAGTACCGAAATCTGGACTTGTTATATAGATTTGGGGTGTTTCGCGGAACCGGTACCGACCGGGACCGGGACCGGGACCTGCCCGACCTGATTTTTCAAAAATGTAGCTATTTTTTAAAAAATGTAACCGTTTTTAGCCCTTTTTTTTGTATTTTTTGCTTTCTAAACACTATATATAAGTGTTTTAATTGAGGGATTTACATACCAAGTTCTCGATTCGCAAAAAACGCAAACAAACGTTCACAATAAATCGGTTTTTCGATATATTTTGTAAGACAATGTAATTTTAATTATAATTAAACGCATTTTTAAAGTGTATTTGAGTGACCCAATTACAAAATTTACAATGTATTAAAAATATATATCATTAAAAAAATAAAATAAAAAAGTATTTTTAATTACCGGGACCGGCGGCCCATAACCGGTTACAATAAAGCTTGACTGGTCTCAACTTTTTCGACAGGGACCGGGACCGGTTACGCCGGGACCGGTTATGGCCGGTTATAAGAAATATTGGGACTGGTTGGAACCAGCCCGGGACCAGTTTTTGGCCATCACTAATTCTGACACAATTTTGTTCTTGTCTTTTATGACTTTCAAAGACGATTTTCTAAATTTTGTTTATGTGATTACGATGATGTGTCTTACGTCATGGCTTGCCATTAGAACTTTGTTTACAGGGGCGGACCTCTGAAAGCCCGAGCCGGGTTCTGTGCACCGATCAATCGAATCTTGCAAGTAGAAGTTTTTTTGGAGTATGAAATATGCGCCCACTAGACTTTGAGGGGTGCTATAGGATATTAGAAGATACAATAGACATCAATAAGAAAACCGAAAAAGTCTCTCGAAATTAACCGAAGACTTAAAAATCTCACGTTTTGCGGGCCTTTAATCCATTTTAAAGGTGCAACCCCTGGAAACCGTAACATGATTCAGAAGCAAGATCGAATCGGAGAGAAATATATAAGTTGTTATCTACCGGCTAAAATTAGACATGTCTTTTGCTTTCATCGAACTTTCTTGCCCCTATGCTTAGGAATGGCAACGGGCCGGGTATTAGTATCCCCGTCCCCGAAACCGATAGCTAAAACCGTCCCCGTAACCGTCCCAATCCCCGTCGGGAATCTTATCGGGGATCCCCTTCGGATTCTCGCGGTTTCCCCGATCCCCGTTGGGGAACCCATAAGGGTAAAAATTATCTTTTTCCCGTTCACCGTTGGTTATAACCGAACCCGATCTGAAAAAAAAATTACAATATGCTAATTTTCACGATTAAAAGTAAATTACAATTTTTTAAAGATGTAAGTTTAAATGTCTCAAAAATAATCGAACCAATTATAAACAATGTATTAGACTACAATATAAAACTAAACATAAATTCAAATGTCATACGACTAAAATCACGATTTTAGACAAATAAACTAGACTTTTTTGTGAGATTTATTTAGGTTGTTAAGGTAAAGTGGATGAAAGTCTTTTAAATTTTAGTGTCATCTTTTTCTTTTAATGATATTATATATATAGGGTTGGGTTCACGTGAGACCAGCCTGTTTTCGTGAGACCTGTGAGACCACATTTTTACACGTAAACTTCACAGCAAAAACATTGTGAAGGTTTAAAAAAAGTCGACCCTTCACAGCAAAAACACTGTGAAGGTTTTAAAAAGTYACCTTCACAGCATTTTGCTGTGAAGTTTCAAGTGTAAAATGTTGGTCTCACGGGTCTCACGAAAACAGGCTGGTCTCACATGATCCCAAGTCAATATATATATATATATATATACATACATATCGGGCCGGGTCGGGTCGGCCGATGATCACCGCCCCCGTCCCCATCTCCGTTAAAATTCCCGAATTTGTCCCCGATCCCTGCCCCGTCCCTGATAAGATGTCCCCGAACCCGGCCTGAAAGTTTTGGTTTTCGGTTTTCACCATTGGTTTCGGTTTTTTTTTTGCCATCCCTACCTATACTTGTTACTAATTAGCTTTAAAAATTGAGCAGGTTCATGGTTTTATAAACAACTCGATAACATAATAGATCATATTAAGTATATTAGTTCCTCGCTCGCATAAAATATCACATGACAAGTGAACTTTAACTTTCATACAATACAATAGGATGTTCAAATACATACATATGAGACTCTTACTTGGTCTCACCTCGGTCAACTAGACTTGGGTTCTAATTACTTAGTTGTGGTGACTTGGGTTCTAAGACCGCAGCCTGCAGATCGTGGCTTGCCATTCACTTCGTCTTCGTCATCGTCAGGTCACCACTCTAGGTCGTGCCAACGTACCAAGAGTCAACCAGTTTCACTCTATAATGGTTCAATCCTTCTCGACAATTTCAACCCACTTTTTGATTCTTTTTGCATTAGGACCCTTCATATAACTCTTAAAACCATAAATTTAACGCAATAATCATGCTTTAATTCAAGTTTTACTCGCTGATCATACGTCGAACATAAAACGTCCATTTTTAGTTCAGTTTCTCATCTTTATAGATCTATAATCATCCTATTTCAACAACATTTCTTGCTACTATGTTATATGTACAAGCTTTAAATCATTACCCTAAATCGTTGAAACCTTCTTGAGAAACTTTAGTGTTCCTCAGCCCCCCCCCCCCCCCCCCCCCCCCCTTTCCATTTAGTCCTATAATTCTTATGTCCATTTCGTCTTTTTGGTCTCATTTAACATATAATAATAGTAAAATACTTCTATAAACAAGGATCGGTTTTTTCGCAAGATACGGAATGTATCGTCAAATATTCAATATGATTCCACAAGATCTAGTTTCGTTCAATGAGATTTTCACCTCATACGGCTCCTCGTTCAATTCTTTCGAAGTTATTGGATCCTTTTCCGCGTTCGAGAATCATCTCCATTCTTCCACTCCGTCCCGAAAAGTAACTCATTTGTACATGTATCATATATATCATATGTGAGATAGAATAGAAATGACATCTGTTATGTCAATGACACCAAAAGGATATTAAATGAATGGAATTGGGATAAAGATGGAATATAATGAAATAGAGCCACTTTGAGGGATCGAAAGTTCGATTCTATCTAAACTACTCATTTTCAAATGATATCCACATCGTTCATAAAGATTCATTTTTTATTTAAAAAATTTCTTATAATTTAATCCATAACAATTTTCGCATTGAACCCACAAATGCCATATTTTTGGTTAAATACATTCCAACCCCTCAACTCATTTTTCCAAGACTTCACATAAGAAAATGCACTTACATTTCCGTAAATGTGTTCTTTTAGTAAATTATGTTTTTAGTCCATGTGGTTTGTTAAAATTATTATTTTTGTCACTATGATTTTGAAATTACGATTTCCATTACTATGGTTTATAATTTATTGTTATTTTCGTTCTTATAATTTAAATTTTACTGCTATCTTCGTCCGGGTGGTTTGCATTTCTTTGCAACCTTAATCCTTCATACTTGAAAGTGAGAATCAACCTCAAGAATAAAAATAGCAATGTTGTGCAAACTATAGGGGCGAAAACAACAATTTTAAAACTATAAGGACGATATTCACATTTTTTTAATAAACCACAAGGATGTTTTTCTCTATCTTTTATAGCAACTTTTAATTTATAAAAAGTAGTATTGAAATCTGAATTAATAAGACTTTGTTTTATAAACTGATAAACGTCTGAATTTGTTTACATTGCCTATTTTATCCATTAAAAAATTATAGTTTTGAATTTATACATGTTCACATATTTATCAATCATCATTACGAAAATTACATGTAAATTATATATATTTAGCATTCTTTTAAACGAAAATATGTCATAAACGGTATTTAACACATTTGAATCCTGTTAAAATACATCAATTGAGAGAGATGTGGATTGATTTGATAAGGATTGATTGAGAAAAATGATTGATTAAGGTTAATCAGTTGAGAAACACAGTTGTTGAGAGTTTGAAGAACAATAAGAGACAAATAAGAGATTGGTTTATCTCTTATCATAAAAGATAACTAACAAGAAATGGACATATTAATTAAGTGTTATATAGATTAAAATACTAAATTACACGAATTTTAAATTACACTAGTGGTGAACGTCTCTATCATTCGTTAGAGACCCTCATGTGTTAATCATGAAGGAGACGTTCTTGTCATTTTACAAAAATTAAGTGTAAAATTATGTAAAACTTGAGTAGAATAGAAGCAATCAAAGCCCCAACCCCCACACACCGACAACCCCTTGTGAGTGTCTCCTATGGCAACCCTGAAGAAAGTGAAAATTCCGAACAAAACACACACAACAACCATTGATGACCACCTATCCTCTAACCAAATGTCGAATAGGGTTTTTAGAACCTTCTTTTAAGAATACTATTAATAGAAAGTTGGACCGAAGTCATAAGACATCTCCAAGCATTATAAATACAACCATTCCTTTCATTCCAAGGTATCAACTTAAACAATCGATAAACCAGAGATCAATAAAAGTAGGTTTATTTATTTTATCTTTAATTACAAATGCTTGCACATACGCGCTGTAAGCTTGTATATAAAAAAATTTGATTAAATACCCCCTCATTTGACTAGCGCGTGAGGGCTTAATGGCGGGCCTCAATGGACATTACAGACAGAAAGGAGTGATATAAGTAATTAATTGAAACAATGAGGACAACTCTTGTAAATTTTGAAACTAAGGTGACAAAATTGTAAAATTTTCACAAACCACGAGGAGAGGAGGGTTGGTAATAAACGTATATTTAACATTACAAACCTTCAGCAATAATATCTAAAGTTAGTATAATAAATTTAAGTTTTAACACAAATAATTCACTCAGTTTAGTATCACTATTGTCTTCATATATATCTTGATAACGTAATTTTGGAGAAAAATTAAACCAACATAGTATGTGTCATAACCGGGTTAATTATGGTTCGAAAGTTTGGGGTTGATTTTGAAAGGTTGTGAAAAGTTGAAGGGTGTATTTTAAATAATTGGTTTAAAAACTCCACGGCCTCTTGTGGTAAATTATATATGCTTTTTCTTTTTCTTTCTTTTGGTTATTGAGAAATAAGATTAAGGGGCCGTTTACCAAACGCTTACTCGGGTAAGTGCTTACCAAGTAATACTATCTCACCGGATGAATACAATAAGGACCAAGAATCTTACTTGGTAAGAGCGAGACAAGGATCAGAAGTCTTACCCAGTAAGTGAGGGCGATAGACTCTTACCACGGTAAGCACTTATCGGGTAAATTATTGTATACAGTGTCGTTTTGGTGGACTAAAATTTTACCCAGTAAGTACATAATAGTGTTAAATTTTACCAGTAAGCACTTACCGGGTAAGTGTTTGATAAACGGCCCCTAAGAAGTAGAAGTTTTGGTCTCTGGGTTTGAATAGTAGAGAAAGAAGAAGAAAAGTTGCATGTTAAATATTTGAATTTGTACAAGTATACTTTCTATTTGTGATCAAGGTGAATTTTATTTCAAAATCTTAACCTGAAATGCTTTTGATAAGAAACTTGCTGGGTTTCAAATTTGGGTGTTTTCGGATATAGCTATTTGTTATTTGTTAGCATAATTGGGTTTTTGATATTGTATTATCATTTGTGGGGGTGATATCGGTCTACTGAAATATCGGCAGGAGAGGTGTAAAATGAGATAAGGATGACATAATCCGCATGAGAGGTGTAAAATGGGATAACACATAATCGACAGAAGAAATGTAAATTGGATAAGGATGGCATAATTATAAATGTTTTTACTTTAAGAAATACATCAATACATTGGTTTACGTAGGCATGTCATCAGGGTAAGGGTAAGGATGGGGCTTGTTTTGTAATCCTCTGCCCCAATAGGTACGGAGATTAACATCTCGTCCCCGGTCAAACCCCATAAAAAATATCCATTAGTTTGAATCTACCGGAAATCCCCGACCCTGGTTTGAGTAACAGCCCTCGGCCCCGGTTTGAGTCTATCGGGATCCTTGGACCCCGAGACCCGTTTTAGCGGAGAATCCCTGTCCCCGTTCAAGTCGGGTGAACCGGGTTCACCATCGAATCGAAGCAAATCACCATCCTTAATTAGATGACATTAACTAATTAGATGAGTTAACTAATTAATCCAAAATCTTTAATGTTAAATGTTGAATTGATCCCCTCTAAGATGCTTTTACTTGTAGTCTTGTCTTCTTTCAAAATTTTAATCTTATATAAAATAAAAACAAATATAAAAAGACAAACACACACACCCCCCATCATTAATTAATTATTTAATTTTTTATTAATTACATTAATTAATGTTGTTGAACACCTTATTTAATCATTCTAAATCTTGAGTTATTATGAAGAAGATGATGATTCTTAAAATGGAGGAGCTTTTCTTTTTTGTAAAGAACAACCATGATATAATCTTGGCTGTTCTGCTTTCTGGTTTAATCACTCGGCTTCTAACAACGAAACTTAGGAAATCATCGGACGCCATCCCAGGACGCCTTGGTCTTCCTCTTGTTGGTGAAACATTCTCGTTTCTTTCGGCTACTAATAGCGACAAAGGCTGTTACGATTTTGTTCGTCTTCGCCGATCATGGTAATCTTGATCTCTATCTCTTGTTTTCTTGCTACTGTTACAAGACTTGCCAAGTTTTTTAGGATACTTTTGAACTAAAATGTCCTTTGAGCTTTTTTTTTACAGGACATGGACGCATAAATGCGTTCTATTAACTTATGGTAACATCTTTACATATGATGTATAATTGTGTGGTCCTATAAAACAGTCTATTATATGACATTTAGACATGTTTTGACATCCTATAAAGTGGGTTTGTTGTAGTTTTTGATTACTTGTTTTGTAGCATGGAAAAATCATGTACATGGATTGACTAGTTTAGGTTGAGTGCACTACAATAAAATCGGATTTATAGAACGTTAAAAATGTCTTAAAGTGTTATAATAAAATACTTTATAGGACTTTAGTTTATAGGATCAAACAATTATAACATATATAAAAGTGTTACACAAGTTTATTAGATGATTTATACAAAACTGTCATACTAATTTTTTTCAATGACATTATTAGAAAATGACTTATAAAAACAAATTTCTTATAGAAAATGTGTTCACAGGACATTTTGAAGAATCTTCTTATAAAGAAACTAATATAACACTTTTTTTAAAAGTGTCCTAAAAACTTGTTAAGTAGCTTATGAACAGTCTTATAAATTTATTGTAAACTTTTACATAAGATAAATAATTATTTAGTCTTATTTACGAGAACTTATTATTATGATGGTCTATGTACGATCATCCTCTATGCTCCAATTTGATCTAATTCACGAGCATGTTGTTTTAGAAGGGTCTTACAGGACCAAGAAGAAACTTAATTCCCCTGAATGAATGTATTAAGACATTTAAACATATTTGACATCCTATAAAACTGATTTTATTGTAGAAGAGGTAGAGTGATATTTGATTGAAATGATGGAACTATGTATACAGGTATGGGAAGTGGTTCAAAACAGGACTTTTTGGCAAAGTTCATGTTTTCGTCCCGAGTGTTGCAGGTGCGAAAACGATTTTAACAAACGATTTTCAGTTGTTCAACAAAGGTTACGTGAAATCTATGGCGGATGCTGTTGGAAAGAATAGCTTGCTTTGTGTACCAGTCGAGAGCCATAAACGAATCAGGCGGCTTTTGTCCGCTCCTTTCTCCATGGATTCTTTGTCCAAATTTGTTCAGAAATTTGATAAGTTGGTCTCCGAAAGATTCGAGAAGTTGGCTGAAAATGGCAACAGTTTTGTGGTTCTTGATTTCACCATGAAGGTTATCAGCTTTCGATGACTCACATAGCATTCGATGCATAAAATTTGCACTTTGTAATAATACTTGATGATTCAGATAGTATTTTATGCATAAAGATAAAAATTTGATAACATTTGATGCTTTATATTAGAGATGTACAAGATCCAAGCTTTTTAAAGCCGTTTTCAATGAGCAGAATAAAGGCTCAAACTTTTTTAGGCCCAAGTCAGGCTTTGGGGTTTAAAAGGGGCCCGATCGGGCTCTTCTTGGTTGGCTTTATTGGGCCTTTTTGGGCTTAGCCATTCTTTTTCGGGCTTTTTTAAGTCGGCTTTTTTGTACTAGGCAGACTTGCTCCCAAAATTTCGGCTTGATCGGGCTTAGAGGCCTTGCTCAGACTGGGCTTTTGGCTCACTAATCCCAAGCTTTTTCAAGTTGGGCCTTGGACACGCTTCAGACTTGGGCTTTTTTGTACATCTCTAAAATTCCAATAGCATTCGATGCATAAAGATTCACAAATTTTTGATGATATTTGATGATTCAGATAGCATTCGATGCAATGTGTGATATGTTGATGAGCATCACAGATGAATATTTGCTGAAAGAAATGGAAAAAGACTTCACTCCTATTTCTAATGCTATGCTCTCTTTTCCATTCATGATTCCTGGCACTAGATACTATAAAGGCATCAAGGTAGACTTACTCCCAATTTATATTCTTTTATCAGTTTATAACAAATAATTATGCGTTCTATGTAAAAGTGTTACCGTAAGATGTTAGAATATAACTGATCATCCTAACAACTTTTTTTTATCATTCTGTTAAAACAAAGCGTCGTATAAACACGTATTTTGATAGTACACGTGTTGTTATAAGACACTTGTTTTCCAATAATGTCACATAAAAAGACTGATATAACGTTTTATTTCAAAAATGTCTTGAAAAACTTTTGATGGCGTCCAAAACGTCGTATCAAGATGCACAAGTGTTTGGTTCTATAGATTTAAGCTTATATAAATCACCAGCCTACTATGATACATATTCAACGTCCCATAAAATCGATTCTATTGCAGTAGTGGCTAAGATGGATGGATTTATGCAGGCACGTGAAAGAGTCATGAGATTTTTCGAAGAAATGATTGCTAGTAGACGGAATAGCAAAGAGGTTAATGAAGACTTTTTGCAGTCGATGTTAGAAAGAGATTTGTTTGCAGCAGACGAGAAACTCGATGATTCAGAGATAATGGATAATATGTTAACATTGATAATAGCCGGGCAGACGACAACTGCGGCTGCAATTATGTGGAGCGTTAAGTTCTTAGATGAGAATAAACAAGTCCAAAACACGTTAAGAGTAAGAAATTATATCTGTTAGAGTCTCATATCATCTAAACTTGGACCATTTTCCTTTATATATGTATATATGTAGATATTTTCTCTTCTCAATCGCTTTTTTAGAAAGTGATTAATTCGTTTCACATTTTCTGACAATATCATCCGCAACATATGTCGTCAAAATCCATATTTGGCACATAAAATGATCGTGTTAAAATGAAATTGCAGGAAGAACAGTTGTCGATACTTAGAAATAAACCAGAAGGGGCTTTTCTTTGTAAAGAGGATCTTAACAAGATGTCTTATGGCTCAAAGGTTACAAGTTTTTTTCGGTTTTCCTATTTATATCAATCCAAGATGGATAATTTATTGTAGTTGGTCGTTATTAATGGCATTTTTTTCAGGTCGTCAAAGAGACACTAAGAATGTCGAATGTGTTGCTATGGTTTCCTCGTGTTGCTCTTGGCGACTGCAAAATTCAGGGTAAGTGCAAGCCCTACAACAAAACCGGTTTTATAAAAAATCAAATATGTTTAAATATCATAATAAACTGTTTTACAGAACTTAAGTTTACAATATTAAACAATTATATGTTTCATATGTAAAATTGTTATAATAAGTTGATATGATGTTTCTGGGTGTCATAACAAGTTTTTAGAACATTTTTTAAATAAATTGTCCTATTAACTTTTTGTAAGACATTTTTGAAATTGTAATATGAACACATTTTTTATAAGACAATTGTTTAAACTAAATGAACGTTTTATTTCAAAAGTGTCCTAAAAACTTGTTAACAAACCAATTGTTTGGTCCTGTAGATCCTGTAAATCAATTTAGTAGGACATGTAGATATATTTGACGTCCTATAAAACTGATCTTATTGTCTTTTTAATCTGATTTCTTGGAAAATCTAAAACAAAACATGTATAAATGACGGGTGTCGAGTCCGGCAAATAATAGAATTTATAAAAATAAGGCTATTATCTCTAAAACACAACTTGTGATAGCGATAAGTAGGGTTGTCTCCTCAGGGACTCGGTGTTAACCGTAAGTCCAAGACGTAACCGTGTGCAAATTCATAAAAAAAATGTGTGTATATAAAAAAGGGGGGGGGGGGGTATGGAAAATTGATAAAAAGCTTAAAAATGCAAAATAAATTGAGAACTTTAAACAATAACGAATAAATTCTAATGATGAGTATAACTAGTTCTTTATCAAATCATGTATCATTGATTTGTGTAAAAACATTTTCTCAATAGATTTTAGACCGGTTGTGAGTGTCAACACGTGCCAAACACTCCGCTTATCTTTATAATTAAACTAGCACGAGAAGCTCAGTAGATTAGTTCCTAATTGATTAAGTTGATTTTAGTCACGGACGTAAAATTCAACCTACCAATTGCCTTAAGTAATAAACAAGCACCAATCCTAACCAATGAACAGAAACCTGAACATTTAAGCTAGATTACACAGTCCTATAATGCAAATCAATGAACTTGGTTGTCTATTGATGCACTATTTGCTACCAAGCGGATATTAAGAACAATTACGGATTCCTAATCACAACTAGCAATTCAAATTTAGGCTAAAGGATTCAAGGGATCCTTCTCAAAACCAAAATCCCAAAAATGAAAGAACAGTTCTAAACAAGAATTGTGCAAATAAAATTCAATTAAGTTTCAATGTTTAACAAGTCTCAACAAAATTCAATTCAAATTAGCTATAATCCCATCACTAGAAACAGAAAATTAGCAACTCATAATTCTAATTCGAAACATAAATTAAACTTACTAATGGTAGAAAGCAGTAGAGCATAAAGTTCTTCCCGAATTCTGGTTCGTTTATGTCTCTCGATTGACAGCTTCTCCTTCTAAAAATCCTCTCAATTGACAGCCCTTTCGACCACTTTTGTTTGCTACCTGGCTCCAATCGAACAGCCCTTTGCTGTCCTCTTCGATCGCTCCCCGTGTCTCCGACTTCTCCAATCGAATAGCCTGCTGTCCTCGCTTTCCCTCCAATCGAATAGCCTTAAATCGCACCTCCATCTCTCTCAATCGACCCACGTTTGGCTGCCCACGTCTCCCGATTTCTCTCGCTGCCCACGTCTCTCTCTCGATCTCGATTTCTGGTCTGGGCAACAGCCTTGGGCTGCTGCTGTTTCTTTTTCTTTTCTTTTTGTTCACGGGCTGCTGTTATGGGCAGCAACCTTGGGCTGTTGTTTGGGCAAAAAAAAACACATAATCAACAAATTTTCTCAACTTTAATGGCCTCATATAGTTAGATTAACTTAAATTAAATTGGCCCTTTTTAAGCATATATTTAACATTAATTGTAAGGTACTTTGACGTAAAAATATATAAATTAACACTTACCAATAAAATGCTTTATGATTCTTTGATTATGGTGGTGCAGAGTTTGAGATCAAGAAAGGATGGCATGTTAATATTGATGCTACTCATATACACTATGATCCAGAATTGTATAAAGATCCTTTGCACTTCAATCCATCAAGATTTGATGTACTAAAATACCCATTTCATTACCATTTTTCCATCAATTTATTTTATAATTGTTAACGCAAAAACTTATGAAAATTGACAAGATTTGTATGTTCCAGGAAATACAGAAGCCTTACAACTACATACCGTTCGGATCAGGGCCTCGAACGTGTTTAGGGATCAATATGGCAAAGGTGACGATGTTGGTCTTCTTGCATAGGCTAACTAGCGGATACACGTGAGTTGATGGTTTCTTTTTTCTTACTGTTAGAGTCTCACAACGCCTAGATTTGGACTGGTTCTCATTAATATAAGTTGGAGAATAAAAATCTGTTGTCCCAACCACGATCCCACATTCTATTCACGTCCACCACTCACATCAATATACATCATAAGAGAGACTCACATAATTGGTGGGACAAGAAGGGGACTAGGGATTTCCGGATAACAGATTTTTATTTGGATTTTCGAATACCAGATTTTTATTCCCAAAATCTCATGTCCCATTTTTGTCCACCAATCACATGGAATCTCCAATCTCTGCTTATTTTGAGAGTAAATTAATCGGGTTCTACATATTCTCACGCCTGATACTCGCAATCGTTCTTCAATTTGATATTCATTTTGTTAACAACTTTCTTGGTATTCCTTGTAGTTGGACGGTCGATGATCAAGATCTTAGCCTCGAAAAGAAATCCCACATCCCTAGACTGAAGAGCGGAGTTCCGATTACATTAACATCTCTAAAAGATTATCAGATTTGAAAAAAAAATCATAATGTTCTTTTAGCATTTCATCGATATATAGATGACGTTTCTAAGTTTGGGGATATTATTTAAAGGTGTGCAAGAGATATTTATATACTAGATATATGAACTATATTACACCAATGAAAGTAGCGTTTACATTTATATGTTAATCAAAAGATGTAATTTCACGTTGTATGATATGAAATGTATATGTAATAGATAAAGTTTAAGAATCAAATCCATAATTTATTCTATAAAATGTTATATTTATATGGTATTTAATTATGGGAAAATTATAAAAATAACCATTTTATACAACTATTTGCCACAAAATAACCATGTTTTAGAGGTTTTACGTCCATACCCACATGGATCGCCCCCGGGGGGCGATCCGTACAAAGAGTCTAATAAAAAAAAATCCAGCCTTAAAAGACGAGATTACTGATCACCCTCGTTGACCGGGCCACGAATCGCCCCCTTAGGGCGAGCCAGACTGTCCGATCGCCCCCCAGGGGCGATCCAGCCTTTAATTCTTTTTTTTATTTTTTTGCGGTATTTTTAATAAAACTGATACGCCATTTAAGTTGTATTTTTTAACTTTTTTAGAACCAAATTTCATGGGTAAAGGTTTAAAAATAAACCATGATAATTATGGAGACGCAAAAATTATTTGTAATCGATTTGGGTTTATGAAATTTGACCTCTATTTCGTCATTTTGTGTTTTTTATTTAACAGTTAAGGGATGTTTTTAATAAAAATGAAAAAAAATACATAAAATGTGTCTTTTTACGTATTTAATTTTAAATTTCATGGTTTTTCGTTATATAATAAGACAATGATAATTGTGGTTAAGAAAAAAAAAATTAGCTGATTTTTGGAGAAAAAAATCAGACATTATATCTGATTTCGCGGTTTTTCATGTTATGACACTCTATGACGTCGATTTGACGCCGATTTGACGATGGATTTTGTTTTATTACTTAACATTTTATATAAATAGGCGGTGGGGGACCATAAGTCACCATCCATCCCCACCACCGCTCGTTTTCTCTAGAAAAACCGAGCGAAAAACCGAGCTTTGACCATCTTCACCGACCATCCCGACCAAAAACGACCACCATTCTTCGACATACCGTCATAGACCACCGTATAACGACATCGATGACCTTCCGTCGCCACCGACCACCGTGAACCGCCGCCGTCGGCCACCATCCGCCGCCCTCCGCCACCATCTGCCGCCACCGACCACCGTCATCCGCCGCCATCCACCACCTTCCAGTGCCACCAACCACCGACTGCCGCCATCCACCACCCTCCGCCGCCACCAACCACCGTCAACCGTCGCCACTATGGAAACACCGGTAAATAATCTATCTCTATATGTATATGTATCTATCTATATATATGTATCTATCTCTCTCTCTCTCTCTCTCTCTATATATATATATATATGTATCTATCTATATCTATGTACCGTTTATATCGCTTTTTTTTACGTTATGCATCTCTATATATATGTATATACTTTACTGCAATTTATATCGTTTTTTTTACGTTACGCATCTCTATATATATACGTTACCGCAATTTATATCGCTTTTTTACGTTATGCATCTATATATATATATATATACACGTTCGGCCATATCTACCTCCCACAACGGTTTTGACTGTTCGGGAGACCGGATCGGGTACGGGTTGGGCGACTGCATTTGAGGCATGTTCAAGTTTTGAACAAAATAATTGTCAGGTTCAACAGTAACTTTTTGTTCAAGATATGAATTTTCACCATTGCCACCACTAGGAAAGAAAGTGCTCTGATTTACACCAGGAGCACAACCGGTAGGGAAGAGTGTGCTTGGACCATATGAGTTTGCACTGCTAACGTCGGGGAAGAGTGTGCTCATATACCAGGGTAAAAGTGTTTAAACCGCCCGGGTTTGCACTTGATGGATTTCTTCCATAACCTCCATTGTCGACCACATATAGTGTCAACATTTCTGGTAAAGTTTGACGAATGGCGTTGTGGAGGATTACCACATCATCGTCGTCCATGAACTGATATAACGTATTCGTTTTAAAAAATAAATTGAAAGGACCATGTAAACTTAACTTTTTSGTCACACATTTGACGACCCCAGAATACGTTATTGGCGAAGACAAACGTATTGCACATGTGGGGGAGGATATCAGAAGGTACTCTACAACACCATTTATATCTTGGAATAAACCGCCACTTCGAAAAAAAAACTTAAAGGCTGGATCGCCCCCGGGGGATGATCTGATGACGTGGCTCGCCCAAATTGTACAAAAAAAAATTTTAATTTTTTTTTTCATAGGAAAAGGAGGATCGCCCCCCAAAATGTACGGATCCCCCCCCCCAGGCGATCTGGGTGGTTAAAATCGTAAAACCTCTAAAACCTGGTTATTTTGTAGCAAAAAGTTGTATAAAATAATTATTTTTATAATTTTCCTTTTAATTATTTGCTTTAACTGACCATATTATTTCCAATGTTTTGATTAAAGCGTTTTAAAGCATTTTATTTAATTAAAAGTAGATATTGCAAGCAAAAGACAAAATCGTAATTTATACTATATTATAAAGTATTTAGATTAAATTTTAAAAAACTATTTTTATGTATAAAGTATAATTAATAAATATATATTTACTTAAAATTCAATTTTATTACAAATTAATATTTCATAAGTACAAATTTAAAGCTTTATAATTATGTTTATCGGTTAATTCGATACCTATATCTAGATATCTAACCGGTAAATACAATATAATACAAGATAAATATCTCATTTATTTAATTAAATTCTATTATAATTTTATCATCAAATTTAAAATATCTAAGATTTAACTAAAATTTTAGTAAAACAATTATGTCAAAAGATAAGCATTTTATTTGTTTTATTTGTCCCAATATTGATTTTTTTTTCAATTTAATAAATGTATTTATCGTTGAATATCATTATTATCATATATATACTATATTATACAGCATTTGACAAAAACTCTTAAAAACTATTTTTATGCATGAAGTACTGTTTATTAATGCATATTACTTAAAATTCAAGATTACAAGTAATTTTGCATAAATACAACTTATTAAAGCTTCATTTTTAAATTCGTATAAGTAACTGTAGATAAACATAATCAAATACAGGATAAACATCCATTTTAGATATAAAAAGTCTAAAATATAATTAAGATAATCATTGAGTTATAACATAATGTTTAATTATTATCTTTATAAAAAAATATATTATTAAACTAAAAATAAGTTACTTTGTTATTAAATCTAAATTAAATTATAATACAAAAATTGAATTAAAAAGTTCTACAAAAAAAGAACTATTAAATAGTTAATCTGATACTTATCGATTTTATTTTTCAAATTTTTATTAAATTCAAAAATAAAAACATTTTTGCTTTCTCAAAACTACATAAAATCGTATTATATCGATAGAGGTAAAATAAAAACTAAACGTTAAAATCGAAATTTATCCCGCTGCATTGCGCGATATCATTCTAGTTGTATTATAAAATATTTGGTGTAAAGTCTCAATAAACATCTTTTATGCATTAAGTATCGTTAATCAAAGCACATTTCATAAGATTCAAGATTTTATATTAATGATGCACATATACAACTCTTCAAAGCTTCATATTTTTCTCTAATTGTTATTAGTTGACATGTTTATTTATAATCCATAGAAAGAATATAATTACAATAATAATAAAGGATGTGTTGCATGAATTTTGAAATTACATGTATACTATAACTAGTCGAAAACCCTCTCACTCTTTTAAAACCATAAAACCATAAAATAAATTCGAAATAAACAAATAACAGAACAAAAAAATGAATTAGGATCTAGGGTTCGAGTTTCAACTTCATTATGAAAATGGATTGCGCTTCATTGAGATGAATTAAAAGATACTTATGATAAAGTTGATGGGTCTGTTACGTTTAATCTTCATCAGAAATTTAACTCTTTAAGTCAAAATGGGACATCTATTTCTGAGTACTATCATAAACTTAAATCCTTATGGAAACAGTTTGATGCTCTAGTTAAACTTCCCTCATGTACTTGTAATGCTTTTCCATGACTTTTTTGAACAAAGTCAACTTATCAAGCTTATCCAGTTCCTGATAGGGCTTGATGATGTATATCAACCCATTAGGAGCAATATTCTTCTAGGGATCCCCTTCCTTATGTGAAAATTGCTTTCTCTCTTGTTTCAAGAGAAGAGTCTCACAGGAGGGAAACTTGTCTCAACCATGTACTAAATCTCAAAATACTGCCTTTTTAAGTAAAACTGTTAACAATAAAAAGCGATTAGGCAGAGCCTTCTCACTTGTTTGTAAGCACTGTGGCATTACTGGACATACCATTGAAAGATGTTTTAAACTCACAAGGTTTCTAAAAGATTTTCAAAATCGACCCAGACTACATAATCAAAATTTTAAATCCTTATTCAGTAATGTTTGTGTTTCTGAATCTCACTCTCCTAAAACGTCTGGGTATAGTTCATCTTTTCCTTTTTTTAGGGATCAATTTGATAAAATTCTTGGATTAATAGAACAGAAACACACATCTGAAGGAGCAACTGCTAATATGGCAGGCATGTTCAAATCTTTTAGATCAAATCTTATGGTAAGTCACCCTAACGGAACAAAGGCAAGAATAAACAAAATCGGGAATTTTAAAACTTTTAGTAATGTAACCCTTTTTGATGTGTTGGTTGTTCCAGACTTCAATGTTAACCTTCTATCTATGCACAAACTTGCTAGGGATAACAAAGTTTTGGTAGGGTTTGATGAGTCAAAATGTTATGTTCAAGATTCTCTTCGAAAGAGTGTTGTGGGGACTGGTAGTTAGGAAGATGGTATATATTACTTTGATGAAAGTTTTAACAGTGAGTCATCTCATGCTTCTTATAATTTCAATATGTCTTGTTTTGCCTCTGTCCAGTTGTGGCACAATCGTCTTGATCACCCAGCTAACCAAGTCTTAAAGGTTTTAAAAGGTCATCTTAAAATTGGAAAGGAAGACTGTGGCCCCTGTGAAGTTTGCCATAAGGCAAAACAAACTCGGGAAAAATTTGATCTGAGTATTCATAAGTCCAAAGATCTAGGTGAATTAGTTCATTCAGATGTTTGGGGTCCCTATCATATTCAAAGCAAGGAAGGTTA